CACTGGGGTTAAAATAGGAAACTAAAATGATACATATGACACACTCATATCCTCTCTCCCACCTCACTTCCTCACTTCGTTAACTTTGCGTATACTTGATGAGGTCAGTAAAAAACGTGTCAATTTCTTTTCATTTTTCATTTCAGCTTTTGGAAGTAAAGTCTGATGATCCAGAACCCTGTTAAAGGGGTTATGGTGAAATAGCTTATTACATGGAATCTTAACGTGGTCTGTCTTTTATTCAAACATATCTGCTCTGAATTTTACATTGAGCTCTCTGGATATCATCCTCCTCAGGTCTACCCATACGGATTACCTAAATTTAAACTATAAATATATATATATATATATATATATATATATATATATATATATATATATATATGAATAGGATGATAGATAGATAGATAGATAGATAGATAGATAGATAGATAGATAGATCCATTAAACCATTCGTACATCCGTATAAATATATGTGTGGGAGGTGTTAAAATTAGTTAAAAAATACTCATCTTTCTACTTGGACTCGAGCAAAGTTAATTAAGTGACGATAAATAACACAATCTAATAATCATATAATAATATATATATATATATATATATATATATATATATATATATATATATAGCAAGGAACAAGCGTAATCTCTTGTTTATATTTAACTTACAAGTCATATTAATATAAAGTTAATAAAACTAAAAACAACCGTTCTCGTCCCAGCTTATCAAGTTTTATTCTGGGAATTAAAAAACAAACGTGTAAATCAATTTATTGGATGACTAATGTGGAGGAAAAAGAATAATTCAAGCAAAACTGGAGACCAATGATATTCGAACCCAGCAAGCAAATCCCTCTGTTTACAGAGAGAAGGGTTGCGGCGATTTGATATATAGGGACTCTAGAAGCATGAGATGATATAATGAGTGTGACCGAGACAGAATAGAGAAACGGTCAATACTAAAGCCTGTAACATAGCTCCTGCTATTAATAATATGTTGAGCGATAGATGACCCGGATGTATTCACCAGTTGACTACTGCTAGAGACCGGATTCAAAATCCTGGTGTTTTATTTTAAAATCCAAATGCTGAGAAGTTCTCCCTATGTAGTCAAGTCCACAATTTAGATATTGATATATTTATAGATCACTGAATTAACATGATGGGGTGGGGGAGGACATCCTTGCGAATGGAAGAAAGAATAGGTCGAGTAACATTCGTATATGATCCATGTCCCCTATATTTACAAGAAAAATTGCATATTATAAAGATTCCCAACAATTAAAACCTATTAAACCAAATAAATGAATTAACTGTACTATGCCGCCATTGCCTATCTTTCACCTTAAAATATAGTTCCATTTTTTTTTTATTAATTATGTATTATAATTGCATAACCATTATTTTATTAGTATATAATGACCCACCCAACATTTATTTGATTCATTGAACTATAATCATGTTTTACCGTCTATTCAGTGTAATTAACAACATATGATTGTTTCCACATTTTTAATTTTACCCATAGACCCCTTTAAGAAGCTTCTGGAATATTTAAAAAAATATTTTTTAAATAATTTTTAAAAAAAATCTGTTTCTGATAAATTTATGTCTATTTCAACAAATTGCCAAATCATACTTGAATGCACCAATATTAAATTTGATGCGGTAATTGTCCCTTAGTATCGTTGAATGTCTAAGCATTAGCCTTCTTGACATGTAATAACAACCCACCCACCTCCACCCTTTGAGCTATTTTTATATGTTAGCGTAGACGTGACTTTCATTGGTTAATCTAGACATACCCATAAGTATATTTCTAATCCTGACCTTATGCCCCCACTTTAGCTTACGAAAAGAGGTAAAAATTTGTTTTTAAATTTCCCTAAGAAATCATTTTTATCATTAGTTATCTACCATCGCCTGATGAAGATTTGTGTAGCTATGTACAAATGTTTTTATTGTAATTTATTATATATATATATATATATATATATATATATATATATATATAGAGAGAGAGAGAGAGAGAGAGAGACAGAGACAGAAAGAGAGACAGAGAGAGACAGAGAGAGATCGAACGATATATATGAATAGACTGAAATAGATTGATCGAACGATAGATAGATTTGAACAGGCTGAGCTAGATAGATAAAGAAATAGGGGGAGAGAGTGATAAAGCATTAAACAGACAAATGAATAGAGTGATCAAGGAATAACCAGATAGATAGATAGATAGATAGATAGATAGATAGCAGTGGCGACTCCGGGGGTCGGACTAAGCCCGAGTGAATCAGCATTCAATTATATTTATTTCAATGCAACAAAAACTTTTCATAGTGCATCGTTTTTCTTGACTTCGGCTGGATCCCGAATTAATTGTTTTAACTCAGTGCCTCAAAATATTGGCCGAAATATACTTCGATGACATTGTTCATAATAAAGAAGAAAGAAAAAAAAAACAAAGAAAGAAAGTAAAAAAGAAGGAAATAAGATTAACGTAGCTCGATGCACTGAGTAGTTCTGAGCCTGATCGAAGCTGGTGACATACTTAATAGGTAATGGTCTTATTGTTTTGATTTTATAAACAATCTTTTATGTAAATCTGTAATGACTTGTAAGCCATGTTTTTCAAAGAACACATTTTTATTTCAAATTATTCTTTTCAAGTGTCCATTTTAAATAATTTATTCCGTACAGTGTAAGGGTTTTTAGCCGATGTATCTTTATCAAACTATCTGTATTAAAGTGGCAGCCTTAAGTCGTTGCTGGAGGATTGGGTAAGGAGTGTAACTGGGGTAGTGTTGAGGGAATATGATATCGGTCAGCAGTACTGATCATAAACTTGTACAATAAATTAAACTAAAAATCAACAAAGAGATACATAAACACACTAACTCATAGACATATATACAAACTCACACTCGAGATAGCTAAACATGTTATTTAAAAACAAACATATTTGGCTCTGTCTTCACTCTTTTTCTTACATGTCCGGATTTTTTTCAAAATAAATGTTTATTTTTATAGAATTATTACAATTAATATCAAAATACCAAAATGTTTTTTTTTTTAAATTTCATGCACAGAGATTTTTAAAAATTATATATTTTAGTTAGAGTAAAGGATTTATTTTAGTATCTAAGTTATACCAATAGTATATTTTGTTAATGAGTCCGACAAACATTGATGATATAGAGTCGCCCTAGATAGATAGATAGATAGATAGATAGATATGAAAAAAAATACCTGAGTTAGATTAACAGCTATTCATTGTAAAAATAGCTAGTTTCATAGTTAAGAGCGGACTAAACAAATTAGAGCTACCGATGCTAGAACCGATACAAACCAGCCGGTTGAGATGAAAATTTAAATTATCCCATAGTTTGGCAGTTTGTTGAGATATTATGCCTGTTCGTGCAATGGTATTTGTCAAGGCAATGATATTTACTTTGAGGTGTCGATCTGCTTTCTAAGCAGGACGTAAAACGTTGCAGGAAATTACGTTACCGGCAACATTGCGTAATCTCTGACTTGAATTTTGGCAGAAGTGGATGCCTTCTTAGCTTATTTAGGCTTGGTAGATTTCGAACGGTTTTTGCGATTTTTAAATGCTCTTTCTGCCACATTGGCTGCAGAAGAATCGCTCACAGGCCGGTGCTTATAATTTTTAAAGTGATATGCGACTGTAACGTTGACGTTGTAAAGACAAATAATAACACACGACTAAAAATATCGTACGTTAAATTATACTTTATTCTCTTCCGAACTTCGTCAATTAATATCTACAGGAGGGTGTGTCGCTTTGGTGCTGTGGTGTGACCCTGAGCTCATTACCTGTATAATTTCCACATGGATTACATTGGAGAAACCTCAAGGAATTTAAATAAAATATGTGTACAAAAGCGATCTTTTACAAAACATTAAAGGCATTAGTTGAAACCGTAACGAGATCGGCAACATTTTTTATATAAAAAATGCTACAGTAATTAAAATAGAAAACATTTCAATAAGTTTTGTGACGGACGGTGGCCGTTAATAATTAAGTATAACTTAAGACTTCAATGTTTAGATAAAACAGTATTTAATTACAACCGCAAATAAATACTTAACAAGAACAAAAAAGTAAAAGACAACCAAAGACAATTAACCATTTAAATGAATATCTTGTTAGTAGAGCGGTTCGGCTTAACGTCCGGTAAATCCTAAATCAAATCATTGACGCACACTAATTCACACTAATTCGACTGGATAGTTCCACTCAATAATCACTTTCAGTCAGTAGCCTGGCACCGCTATTTATACACCAAACGGAAAAATATTCATAATTCCAGAGTGTCACGCTCGAACCTCGGTGTCGGTAGTAATCATTTTCTTTTTATATGACACTAAGTCGAAAGTGTTTTAATCGCTAGATCATCAGTAAACATTTACGTCCAGTGTCTTATTTTTCAACATTCTTGGCAGATCTTCTATAATCACAATGTAAGCTTTTTAACAACAAAAGTGACGAATCTAAATGAAATTGGCTAGATTTTATACCCAAAACACATAAAAAAAATCAAATTTAAATTTAAAATTCCCAGCGTCGCTCGTTCGCGCGCATCTGCGGTCATAAACATAAACTTAGTTCGATGAGGTCCTGGGGTGCGAAGTTTTTATCATTACTATAAACGTTTATAGTTTGTGCAATAAAAAAAGAGCTAATTTTTTGTCCATCACACAATACTTGCGTGTGACTTTGCATGCAAGGTGCGTATGTCTGTTTGGTATGATTGAGGGATTAATTTGTTATTTGCGGCTTATCAACCTTTTGCAGGTTATTTAAAGTCAGAAAATATTTTTAGATTGTAAGAAGTTTTAGGAGATAATAATTATTTACAGATACAAATCTTACTAATTAACCCATAGCATGGGGAGAAGAGGTAGATTCATACCTTTCCCAAGGCTCTTCGATTTCTAGTTCCAAGTCGATATCCATTACACCAAACGCACATCCAGCTTACAGCACCTGTTATTCCCAAGCGGTCACCACTCTAGGTACTGATCAGGCTCGACGTTGCTTAACCACGGTGATCGTACGAGAACAGGTGTTTCAACCTGATATGTCCGTAGGCCGTGTCTGTTTGGTGCGCGAGGAATTTATATGCGCTCGTGCCATTTAATGTACGCACGCACATGTACAATTTGAATGAGTTTAAAATAAGGCAGAGAAATAGTACCTTCGCCTCCCACTCAGTCTGGACAAGCCACACTCTGGGATGAACAATGAAATCACAAATTTGGAGATAAGAAGAAAAAACAGAAAAGAAAAGAAAAACATCGAGAGTTTCATGTATTTTAAACTGTCTCTTTGATCACATGTGTTTAGTTGTGTAATAAAATAATAAATAAATAAATTAAAATCAGCTTCCCTTCGTAACACCTACAACGGCCTGACGATTGCATCTAGCATGAAACAGAGTGTCGCCTATAAGTGTTGACTTCTATGTTCACTTTTATATTTACACACGCTCTGTCTCTGATATTGAGCACTTTATCCCATAAATACAGCACACCTTAAGACTATATTTCTTCATATATATATATATATATATATATATATTTATTAAAGACATTTTTTTTTGTTTAACGTTCTTTTTTTATAGATACAAGTATTTAAGTAAATGCTCTGTTTTTATAATAAACAGTATTACCGGCCTGGATGTCTGAGAAATTTTCATAGAAAATATTCGTCCTTTGACAGGATTCGAACCTGCATCCTATACGGAACCGTCATTTACGCTGACGTGCCTTACCGTCTCGGCCACAAAGGAGGTAGGCAAGGTCGAATTTACTGCTTATAAACTTCAATCTTCCATGAATCTCCTACATTCATAACTGCTCTGGCGTATCAAATGTAAACAAATGACGTCATATATTAAGAAATGGACAAAGTCCGACAATTTATTTATTAAAGACATTTTTATAAAAAAAAGAACGTTAAACATAAAAATAAATAAATTGTTGGACTTTGTGGCCGAGACGGTTAGGCACGTCAGCGTAAATGACGGTTCCGTATAGGATGCAGGTTCGAATCCTGTCAAAGGACGAATATTTTCTATGAAAATTTCTCGCACATTCAGACCGGTAAATGTTATTTAATACTGTTTATTATAAAAACAGAGCATTTACTTAAATACTTGTATCTATAAAAAAAGAACGTTAAACATAAAAATGTCTTTAATAAATAAATTGTCGGACTTTGTCCATTTCTTAATATATATATATATATATATATATATATATATATATGCATATTATCCCCTGGCACGTAGGACCGTAGGGGCACCATGTGTACTGTAGTCACAGTAGAACAGTAGAAGTGATGTTACTTGGCCAAGATATCCTGACGGAGCCCAACCCTCTCCAGGCCGGTTTTGAATTCAGAGTTTTCCTTCTCCTAGACCAGTTACCATCCAAGGCAATAGAAGCCAGTATTTCCTGCTATTTATCCATAGTTGGGGGAAAAAAGAGGATCTATACCTTTTCCAAGGGTATTAGCACGTAAGTGAATGTAATGGATTCAATTGGAATTCGAACTCTGTTTTCCGATTCCTCAATCCAAGCCGCTTGTCCACCGTGCCTTCCCATATATATATATATATATATATATATATATATATAAAAAGAAAGAACAGTAAGATATAAAATCCGGTGTTCTTATATTTCCTTTATATATACATCCTAAATCAAATCACCCCCCATCTATAATTAAACATATACCGTTATCTATAAGTAAACGAATTAGTACAAATTCAGCTAATAACAAGATTTTTGATGAGCATATCAATTGCTATAATAAGGCTCTAAAAGATAGTGGCTACAAAACCCAAAAACTAGCTTATATAAAAAAATGAGAATGGAAAGCATAGAAAAACAGATGTAGAAAAATTATTTGGTATACTCCCCATATAACCAAATGGTAAAGAACAGATTAGGACATAAATTCCTCGCATTAATAGTCAAGCATTTTCCTAGTGAAAGTAAACTAAGTACTATTTTCAATAAAAAACACACTAAAATTAAGTTATAGCTGTACAAAAGACTTAGAAAAAATCATTAAGAACCATAATGCTAATATCTTAAATAAACACTTATACCAAAACCAAAAAAGTTTAGAAAATGGAAAAATTAAGATAAAAACTGATGGAAATAAACAAAAACTATGTAACTGTAGAAACCCTCAAAATTGCCCACTACAAAATAAATGTTGCACTGAATCATTAGTATACCAATGCAATATCTCTTCGATTGAAAGTTCTGATAACATAAAAATATATATAGGTTGCACTAGCCATGAATTCAAAAAAAGATTCAACCAACATCAAACTTCATTTAGAATAAATAAATACAAAAATCAAACATCTCTCTCAAAATATTTCTGGCATCTAAAAGAATCAAATAAAACACCTACAGTAAAATGGAAGTTAATAAGAAAAGCTAGAATTTGTAGATCATTAAACGACCCGTGTCCTCTATGCATACAAGAGAAACTATATATTACTAAGTTTATAAAAAATAAAAATTTACTGAATCAGAGAAATGAAATAGCTATTATATGCCGTCATTGTCAAAAATTTTCCTTAAATAATATATAAAAAAAAAAGAAAAAAAAAAGTCTATTGGAATAAAAATGTTTTAAACTTGTATTTAAAATTTAAAATTGTAGTTAAAACGTATTAAAACATAAGCATCTTTTAAAAATTGTAGTTAAATAAAATGTATCCTAACCGAAACACCTCTATAATAAATGTACTACAAACACTTGAATGAATCCAATAAAACATCTAATGAAAAATGAAATTATAACAAAAGCTAAATGATGTAAGGTAATGTATGACCCATTGTTCTTTGTACATACATATGAAACTTTATTACTCAGGTTACATATATTTAAAATAAATAAATTAATTAATTAATACATAAAGTTTACTAAATCTGAGAAATGACTTAGATAGTTTTGTAGTCTGTGCCATTTATATTACTGAAATAATATTTAAATATAATAGTTTAAAAATTGTAATTTACATATACTTTGATATGGAAAAATAATTATACTTACTATGAGTAATTATCCTTCTGTTATAAAGTAATATATTCTATTAAAACTAACAATGAAAATATTTTAAAATTTTAAAGTGGTAATTTTAAAATTGTAATTAAAATTGTAGTTAAATAAAATGAATTCTAACCTGTTCTTTGTACATACATATGAAACTTTATTACTTAGGTTACATATATTTAAAATAAATAAATAAATTAATTAATAAATAAAGTTTACTAAATCTGAGAAATGACTTAGCTAGTTTTGTAGTAAGTGCCATTAATATTACTTAAATAATATTTAAATTTAAAAGTTTAAAAAAAAAAAAAATTGTAATTTACATATACTTTGATATGGAAAAATAATTTTACTTACTATGAGTAATTTTCCTTCTGTTATAAAGTAATATAGTCTATTAAAACTAAACAATGAAATTATTTTAAAATTTTAAAGTTGTAATTTTGAAATTGTAATTAAAATTGTAGTTAAATTGAATGAATTCTAACCTAAATTTCTTTTAAATAATACTACACGCACTAAAAAGAATCCAAAAATAACACCTATAGTAAAATAAAATTAATATGAAATGCCATAAGATGTAAGCTTTTGAATGACCCATGTCCTTAGTACTTACATGAGAAATATCATAATACTAGGTTTATATATAAAATAAAAGTTTACTGAATCAGTGAAATTAAGTAACCATTTTTGCCGTCATAGTCATAAATTTAAAAAAAAATAAAAAATAAAAAAAATAACCTCATATACATACTTAAACTTGATGTTAAAATAATCCTACATAATATAATGGATTCTAATACATTTAACTGTTCTTAAAAAGAATATAGTAAAATAAAATTAAAAGGAGAATATTTCAAATCGTAGTTAAATAAAAAAGTATTAGGAAAAAAAAAAAAAAACCCGGAAAATCTTTAAATTTAAAAATGACGTTGAAATTTTTTACCGTTAACAATTTTTTTTTTTTTAAAAAAAAAAATTCAGACGACATCCATTCAACTGATGTCAGGTTTCATTGTAAAATACATCCCTACCCCTTACCAAATTGTAGCTAATAACTGATACAATGATACTGACATAAGGAAAATATAGACATCCCTTGTTCAATTTAAGTAGAATATTCTGTAACCATGGAAACGTGATTTTAGCTGTGTCTTTAAAACCCGGTAATTTTTAAAAGTTACTCCAAAATTCGCTTGAAGATGAAATGGAACTAATGCTTTTAATTTAATTGCAAAATTAAATTCGGGGTTTTTAGCTTCTATTTTTGAAACATGGTTGGAACTGTGTAGCGGAAAAAAACTATATTTTAAATCAATTAATTTATAATATATATATATATATATATATATATATATATATATATATATATATATATATATATGTGTGTATATATATATTAAAGATGACTATATATATAATATACTTCGATTAAGCATTTATTTAATTTTTCTTGTGTTATAAGTGTTTAACTAAAAAGCCTAATCACAGTACTTTGTCAGTCTTTAATGAAACTTTTATAAAGGAAGGATTGCTGCTCAAATACACAATTATATACAGGGGGCGATGGGTAAAATGTCGCCATTTTATGTTTTTAATTTTGAGCATGCGCGTTATTTGTTTTTGAATTTATCGACTGCACGGTATAGTAGGGTCAGTTGGGCACCGTCTGTGAGAAAAAAGCAAAACAAAACAAAAAAAACAAAAAAAAAAAAAAAACGCCATGAGGAAATTCACTCCGTCAGAAATTTGGAAACGGCTTGCTGTACTACTGTGTATTCGCACCGGAAGCTTTAATACGAACATTTCAGAGTGTTTGGGTGTCAATCTGAGGACAGTTTAGGGGGATTTGGAAAGAGTTGGATGAGTCTAACGGTGATTACGAAGACTTTTACAGTGATCACTAGTGATGGCAACGTTATACCTCCATTCATCTTTCTACAGGGTCTCAGATTCAACACGGAGACCTACATCAAGTGCCTTGAGGAGGTAGTGCTTTCCAGGGTGGCTG